GGCAAGTAAACATGACTTCGGTGTCAGGTTGACTGGATTAGTCCATGTTAGCACTAAGAGTCTGGGGAAAAATAAAATGTTAAAGATATTCAAATTAAAGTTTTGGCTTTAAGATAGGAATAAGAATGAAGTGGCAAATGGAAGGGAATTTGTTAAAGGGAAAAACTAGTTCACTGTAGAACCATCCAGAATGTCAGTCGTGGGTGAGCGAAGAGCCTTGAGGTTCTTACTTCTCACTCTCCTCATGAGCTGCTGGGTATCCTCCCTCTTTGCCCTGAATCAGAGGTCTTACTGGTGTAGAGGGCTGTGCTGAGGGTAGGCCCAGAGGTAAAGTAGAGTGTGTGCAGAAGCAGGTCCGGTCCCCTGCAGCTGCTTAGTCAATATTTGCTGCCTGAATGAACACCTTATAGATAGTGGGTGGTTCATGGGAGCAGGTGACATTTTCTGGTTCAAGAGTCAAGATCAAGGAAGCATAATAAGTTTAGCTATTTTGGAAGTTAAAAATAAGTACCCACAGTTTAAAAATAGTTTCAGATCATAAAAAGCTTTCCATCGATAAGGACAACTTTAATGCTTTAGTGGTATGTGCAGTAGCTCTTCTCAAATACTTTGGGATCTTTAACTCTGTATGAGTAGCCTGAGATTGTTTCAGTAAATCATAAAACTAGAAAAGCCTTGACACATGCTATTGTCAAGTAGAACAGTGTGCTAGTAAACTGACATAAGTGCAGGAAGGTATCTATTTTAAAATACTCTATTAAAGAGAAGTTCTTTTGGGACCAGCCCTGTGACCTGGCAGTTAAAGGAACCAATTCCCGTATGGCTGGCTGTATGGCTCAAATGCTGGCTCTGGTAGCTTAAAAAACATGCCAGGAGCATGTGTGTGATATGTGTGCTTCCCCCAAATCTCAACAGGGTAGAGAGGGGAAGGGATTGTTGCATCACCACTCCTCATTGAGGAATGCTTTCTTCCTATCCCTCTCTGTCTCTCGCTGGCATGCACACATACCCTCTGGCAAACAAATCAGATAAACAAATGCCTTCCAATGGTTCATAATCTTTAAAAAAAAAAATAGTGAAGAGAAGATCTTGCCTTATCCCTAATTTTAATACCTGTTATAACTAAAAAGGGCTTCAATATTGACCGGTGTTTTTATGCTCCCATTTTAGGCACAGGAAGTGAGCTGACAGTTTATATCCCTCCTATGAATAGGAGGTGGGAGAGATAGGAATGTAACATAATGTTGTCTCCCCCCTTTTAACTATGTTAATGTAAAGGCATATTGAGAAAACATACTATGTCTATCGCTATGGTTCAAGTCAAGTTTCCTTTAATTGTAAATAAAAAGCAGGTAAGATGATTAATATTTCTTCCTTCTAAATTAATCTTAGAATCAGAAAAAAAAAAGTCAATGAGCAATATAATCTACCATTATGTAAATTTAAAGACATTAAGGTTTGCTTTTCTTGAAGTTTCTTGAGAACTCCAAGGGAGACTTTGGCCTCACACAGCCTATTTCCTTAATTCAACCCTGGAGAAACTTGAAACCTAAAATCTCCCAGTTGACAAGCTAAATGGTAGTCTTTGTTTTAACAGTGCCCTCTTGTGGGCAGTTCTCCTCAAATGAGGCCCCGTGATGGCCTTGGATTACTCTGGAAATTAGTTTTGTAGTCTGTGCTTTGACAAGCAGCAAAGGGGGTTGTTGGTAACCAGGCTAGGTGAGGAGGTGAGAGAGCTCTGCAGGCCGATGCCAGTAGGGAAGAGCAGGTGTTCCCTTCCCACCTGAGTGTGATGACTAATGTTAAATATATTCTTTGTGGGAGCTGTGATGGGATAGCTTGTCTTCCTTGCAGAATAATGGAGGGGTAGGTGGGCAGTGCCAGCCCACTTCTCTATGTCCCAGTGAGGACTGGGTGGACTACTTTGAGCTGAGACTGAGCCAAACCTGGTTCTCCACTCCCACAGACCTAACTTTCCAGTCTTGACTTGTAGCCATGCCTACCAGACTCAGCTCCCTTCTCCCTTTGAATTGATTAGAAAACCACCTGGGTTAGCTTTCTGGAAAATAACGCAACAGTGTAGTTGTGGGTATAGATTTTAACCTTAGGGAAGAATTGCATTCTCAAGGTCTTGGGCTTGGCTTTAACAGCATATTTTCCATGACTTTGTTTAGCCCCATACCATTCTATGAGAGAAGATCCCTCTTTTATTCTTTGAGAAGCTTATAGAAGGCTTTTATGTAGTGAAGTTGTTAAAATATTTTCCTTTTTTTTGTTTATTTATTTACTCCAAGAGAATTGGAGAAATACTTAAGAGTTTTTAGTCATATTCTATATATGAGGCGGTCTTTAAAAAGTTATGGAAAAATGTGTATTGTGAAAAATCTATGGATTTCAATTCTTTTGGTACCAAAATAAACTCATAATTTTACCATTTTCTATAAACTTTTTGATGTCTTCTTGTACATGAAAATGGACCTCAAACTAGTGTTCAGGAGTCCTTAGTCCCCCTGAGATTTCTGTTTTCCACATATTAGTATAAGTTTGGGGAAGAGTCTTCCCAGGTAGGCTTGGGGTCTCATTATTGATTTGGAGTGTGAGGGAAGAGCACATTTAGTCATAAGGGCTCTGGAGTCAGAAAGGCCTGGGTGTAAATCCCAGCTCTGCCACTCACTGGCATGCGTCATACTTAAAACCCACCCCTCCAATGTCCTCATCTGAAAAATGGGTTCAGCATCACTACTAACTCTAGTATTTTTATGACGATTATGTGAACATATGAAAGGGCAAAGAAAGTACTGAGCTATGTGATATCATAGTTGAAAATTGAGTAAGTCATTAGAATTTGAGAATAAGATGGAAAATATCAGCTCTGGAAACTGACATTTATAAATATAACTCAGAACGAAGTTACTCAGTTGAAGTGATATTTGGTAAATCTAATGAGATCAACAAAGCCAAACAAGATGACAGGAATAAGGTGCCTGTAGAAAGCCGAAGTCCAGCTGGGTGAATTTTTGTCTCATCCTTGGGTGATAGGCTGTGCTGTTTGCAGGATGGCTTACGTGGAGCTCAGGTCACGTTGGTCAGGTTTATCAGCCCAGTATAGAGCTTGGGTGTTCTGGCCACAGGGCCAAGATCTCCACAGGGAAGTCCAGTCCATATAGCTGTTCCAGTATTGCCCATGGGCACATTCTAATGATAATATGACTTCCCAGGCAGAGTTCTCTGAATTTCCTGTGGTGTCTGATAGATGTGAACACTCTAGGCCAGTAGTCCCCAATTGTTTTGGGACCAGGAACTGGTTTCATGGGGGATAATTTTTCCATAGACTGGTGAGGAATGGATAGTTTTGGGATGATTGAAAAATATTACATTTATTGTGTGCTTTATTGCTATGATTATTACATTATAATATATATTGAAATGATTATATGACTCACCATAATGCAGAATCAGTAGGAACCCTGAGCTTGTTTGCCAGTTAGGTGGTCCCCAGTCTGGGAGCCATGGGAAACAGTCACAACTGAATAGTATTGCTTATGTCCAGTCTGTTCTGTAATCTTTTTTGGGTTGCTGTCACAGCAGAAAACACTGCTTCACCAAGACAGATATTGGAAATGGAAGCAGGCTAGGATCACCACCTCAGCTTATCAGCCGTTAGATTCTCACAATGAGCACACAGCCTGTATCACTTTGTGCGCACAATTCACAGTAGAGTTTGCACTCCTCTGAGAATCTGTCTAATGCCACCATTGCTCTGAAAGGAGGCAGAGCTCAGGCTGTAATGTGAGCGATGGGGACCAGCTGTAAATATAGGTGACGCTTTGCTCATTTGCCCACTGATCACCTCCTGTTGTGTGACCCGGATAGTAAAAGGATATGGACTATACTGGTCTGTGGCCTGGGGATTGGAGACCCCTGCTCTAGGCCTCTTCTTAAATTTTGCCATATTTTGAGATCTCCTGAGAGGTTTAGAAAACCGCTGACTTTTGGCTTCACACCCCTTAGATTCACGTGCAATCAGGCTGCTTACTGACCTGTCCATTGCCAGCTTTCAGAGCTTGACTGTCATGTGCATCAGGCTTGAGATCTTCTGCTCTCAGTGGTTTGGTGGCAGTTGCAGATGACTATCTGGGTCTTATGAGCTTGGTGAATGTGATCGGATCACTCACAGAGTGAATGTTCTTGCTGGGGCTGGTGAGGTCCCACGATGGACTGTGATGACTCCATAAGGAGCCCTTCTGGCTCTGACTGAGAGTATGACCAACCTTCCTTTCTTTGACATCTTTTTAGCTGCTGATGTGCCTACTTTTTGAAGCAGGCATCTGATTTGTGTCCCCTTAGTATGCTGGGCTCAGATAGCAGGAGGTGACTCTGAAGCTTTGATTTCCTTCTCAGCTGGGTCTGACTAGGACTTCGCATCTAGATTTGTCTTATTTCGAACAATTGTCTGGGCGAAGTATTTGTGCTTTGCCTCCTTTCAACTCTACAAATTGCCATTATGTGAGGTATCTGGCCATTAAAGGTGTGACCCTCAGTCCCACACAGCTTGTCTCCCCATCCTTTCCATCCTGGGCTGATTTCCAAGTAGGAAAAAGCATCTGGACACTGAAGTTTGGGAGCCCAGCCATCCCAACCTCATCCATACCCCCATCACTCAACTCCATGAGAATCTCTAGGGATCAATTTTGATGCATAGCTGGCCGCTTAAAATGACGGCGTTGATTTGGCATCATTTGTGCAATCATCTCTGGTAGCTATAAGCCTCCGGTTTTGAATGGTTTCTGGAGCTCCGATAGAATGAATAGCTTCGTAAATGTATATCATTCTTAATGGTAAATCTTTAGGCTTTAAAGTCATCTTTAGTTTTAGACATGATTTTTACTTTGTCTTCTATTTTTATATTGCAGGAATTTTTTAACTTAAGTAGGAAAGAAGATGATGTTGCTCTCTGCTCATTTAAAAAGTTTACTTTTGACAAAAAACTAGGGTTATATATATTCTGTTGGTAATATTTCTGCAGTGATTTACTTATAGGTGTAATCCTTAAGAGAGAAGGTAACATTCAAGAATATTATCAAGACTAAAAAGGATTTCATTAAAATCCGTGGTAATTGTATCTTTTTGTTTGCTTTCAGGTTTTCAAAACCCTCGGCACAGATGTTGTGAAATCTGCATTTGAGGGTTATAACGCTTGTGTCTTTGCATACGGGCAAACTGGATCTGGAAAGTCCTACACCATGATGGGAAACTCTGTACGTTGTTTACACTGTGTGGGAAGGAAACTTCTCATTATCTTTCTTAGGACTAATAGAACGATCTCTTTTATCTACTTGGTCTGTGCTAACTTGCTTTTCATGTTCTGATCATTCTTTAGTAATAAGATAAAACTTAGTAATAAGTTAGACTAAATTTCCTTTGAGAGATTTTAAATTAGAAATAGTTTTAGGTTTATAAGCATGAATAATGGATGCAAGTCCCAGTTCATTTTCCGTTTTAAAGGCCTTATAATCTTATCAGAAAAAGTATGCTGGGCCCACAAGTAATTTATTCTTCTTTTCTGCCAACACAACAGTTTGAATAAAATTACTGAAGTCTGTTCTTTTTAAAATTATTCAAAACGTTTTTTTCCCCAAGAAAAATGTAAAAAAAAAAATTATGTAACTTTTTGTTGGGAAAGTACTATATACATACAACAAATTCATACAAAATTAGAGTTATATAATTTATATCATTATAGACAAAATATATACAATTGAGTAGTTAAGCTATACAAATTAATAGGACATTAATGTTATACTTGCCCCAAAATATGGAGGAGTAAAAGCTAGACCCTAGAGATAGCACTTGTGTTTTATTTTTCTTACGTTATCGTGTAAGCTCTGTTCAATGGCCGCCAAACCTGTGTCTTGTTCTAGACAAAGACATTACTAGTTGAGGGTTGAGGCAGGCGTGGTGATGTTTTCAGTGCTTAAGTTTTGGTGACTCATGAAAGTCATGTATTGGAGGAGAACAGATCTTTTCGGATGAAAGTATTTCAGTGCATGTAACTTGGCTTCTTAAACCCAGCCTTTTTGTTTACATGAGAAATAGATAAAAGGTTGTACTAGGAATCTTCAATGCCGAAAAGTCAGAAAGGACAAATGAGAGGAGCAAACATCAGTTACTTCTCTCCCTACTTTCTTACTGTGCTTTTGGGATGAGGGAGAAAACCCCTCTGAAAATGAAATTTACATGTTGATTCCCTCATAGCTATTTTATATAAGTCGAACATTCATAGAATGCTCATAAATGACAAGTGCTGTTTTTCTTCTGATTTTACAATTGGGTACAGCTTAAGTATTCTTATTTACTTATTTTAAAGTAAGAACCAAAAATGTGACAAAAGCTCATTATTACTCACTAAGAATTGGTTCTAGGGATCAGCAGTTGGTAAATGGCTATGTCACTGAACTTCCATGTAGTCAACCACAGTTCAAGTCCCAGACCTGGTGGTTTAAACTCACGCCGGGTATATGTTTGTGCTTGTCCAAGATCCCCAGAGGAGAATGGAGGGATTGTGGTGTGGCCATCCCCCTGGGGGTGTGATTTCTCACTTTCTATCTCTCTGTCTCTCTGGTGAGCACACACGCCCTATAGCAAAAAAA